AAGAGGCAGCAGGAAGAAAAAAGAGAGAAAAAAACACACACACACACACACACACACACACACACACACACACACACACACACACACACACGAAGGAGAGGAGTTTCCAGGCCTCCAGGCTGAAGCCAAGGTGTGCTGTGCTATAAAGATCTCAAGAGTGACAGTAACTATAGTCTAAGCAACTCAGGGGGCCAAGACAGAAGCGCTTACTTGCAGGCGTTTGAAATCAGCCCAAATAACAACTGTTTCAAAGCACACAAATAAAAACAAACAGAAACTTGTTTAGGGCTAGAGGGAGAGAGCTGAGCAGCCTTGGGAGGGTGACAAAAGGTACAAATGGATACAAACTCAGGTAGTCTGCTTATGAACCAGGCTGAATGCTATCCCTTTGAAGCCTCAATTGCCTTGAGACCAGCCATTGTCACTCCCCCTTTCTGTTCTCACAATCATAAATCAGGCCCACTCCCAGACACCCCTTACAAGTCCCCTCTGGCCCCACCTCCCCAGCTCTTGGTGCCCTGGGGCTCCCTGGGCACCGGAGCTCATGCTCTTTCTAGAGATACATGTCCTTAGCAAAAGCTCTGAGCCTGTCTTGTCTGTGGCTGACACGATCTTAAGGACTGTGTAGGTTGCAAATGTCAGAGTTTGGCAATGTTTTTCTGTAAAGGGTCAAATGGAAACTCTTTTGAACTATGGAGGGAGGGGTTTCAGTTTAACTGCACCTGCTCAGCTGTGCTGTGGAGGCAGATACCAGAGCTCGTGGGGGTGTGGTGAAGAGGAACAGCCCAGGGGTTGTGTTCTTCAGAACTGCAGTGTTGCCGAGAAAACCACATGCAGTCAGTCTGAAGCCAGGGTAGGGTTTGCCAGGGGTCTTTGGCACGTCCAGAGCCCTGCAGGAACTCAGAAGCCTGGCTCTTACTGGCAGGGGATGGGGGAGGTATAGAGAGGGATTCGTGGATGGGCATAAGGTTGGCCTTGGAATGAGGCTGTCCTGCACAAGAGAATGGGAGCCAGGGCACAAAGGCAGGGTGCTGGTGTGAGCCAGAGCTAGGGCTGTGCAGGCGATGAACGGGGACCTGGAACAAGCACAGGCAATACTAGGTGCTGGACTTCTCATTCTGTAGGAGAGAACCGTTCCCCCTCACCCAAGCCTTCTCCACCCTGCTTCTCTCTTTCTTTAAAGACAAGGTCCTGTGTATCCAAGGTGGAATGAGAAGCTTGAACATATCAACATCCTGCTGCCACTCTCTGGGTGCTGGGGACAGAACTGTGGGCTTCACAGATGTTCTCTTCTGAGGGACACACCCACCTTCTCCTGGAACCACATGGCAGGAAAAGTCCTGGGCACAAAGGACAGACAAGACATTCTTAACTTGCTATGGTCTTGTCAATGTCTTTAAAGGACTTTAGGGGCTGTATGGCTGATCTTGTCCTTGTAAACCTGGAGGTTGAATGGCTTACCAAACAAAGCTGTATTGCCGATCAATCGCAAACTGCTCATCATCTCAGGTTTGAAGAGGCCCCCTGGTTCCCAGCTGTCCCAAGAGGGCTCCACTGGACCTCCTGACCATCTGCCCTGTGGTACTTTGCCAGAGCTTCGATGACAAAGGACCCAACCTAGGCAGACTCAACAAGATCAGCTCACTTTTCTGGAGGCTAGAAATCCAAGATCAGGATGGTAGCAGGTTGCTCCTTTGACAGCTTATTTAAGAAAGGCTTCCTTTGTGTCATCAATAGTGGGTTGCTGGCCATCCCCAATACTCCTTGATTTGTAGAAATATGGCCCTCATGCCTGCCTGTCTTCACACAGTATCTCTGTCTGCAGGCATCTCTATAAAGGCTGTTGCTGAATGAGTCACATTCTGGGGTACTGGAATCTATAACCTCTGTGGAGAACAATTCATTTTATAGCCCACCACACCTCCTGCCTTCCATATTCCAAAGCTGATTTAATGGAGGATGTATTTTCCAGTTCTCTCTTACCCACGTCTGCCACCCCACCAGCTAACAGTGGCCTACCTGTTAAGGAGTGCCTGGACATCCCTGCCCAATTAGGTCCTGATGATGGCAGGGTGGCCCAGTCTAGCAATATGATACCAAAACCACCAGGATAGAAAGACCAGTAACATACAGACACCAGCAGTAGGTGGGGATGATATTGGGTATGGGTCAGAGAAGCAGAGAGACAGGAAGACTGGAACTGAGGGACAGACAGGCTTACTGTATGGGAACTGAGGTGAGCCTGAGTGGGGGCCAAGTGGCCTGCTGGAGAGGGCTAGGTTCCACGGAGAATCAGGAATGGCCAACAGAGATAGACACACTGCATCTCTAGTAGATAGTGAAGTCCAGCAGTCGGAAGAGGCAGGGGGTAGCCATGGGTTTTCAAGTCTGGAGTGTGGGTGGGAGACCATCTCAGGTTACAGACAGGGTAAAGGCTCTGAGTAAAAATGATGTCTGGAGAGAGCTAGGTAAGAGAAGGAAAAGGAAGTGAGGAGGACCTCGAGAAGCCTGGGGAGAATGGGCAGAGCACACTGCAGGTTGTACCGTGGCAGGACCAGTCACCACACAGGCCCGTGATATTCCAGTCAGAAGAAAACTGTAAACACAAGTCTCATCCTTTAACTGTTTATTGTATAATATAAAACTACAAAAGACCGCTCATTTCCATGTACATTTAATCTGTCCAATTGTTTAGAACACAGCCCTCTGGGTTCTGATGTGACATCTGTAATATTGCATAGAAAAGGCACAGCTCTCAGGTCTGTGGGGAAAGGTCACCCCTACTTTCGACAAAAGCCCCCCTCAAAATCCACGCACCTAACATGCCCCTATGTACACTTTGCAACACTTTAGTTGTACATATGGACTACGTTTCCCTTCCAAATTCCCCCCCAAAAGTCCAAAAATTGTATTGGCTTTGTCTGCAAGAGCATTTGATCCTGACTAATTTTCAAGAACCATGTAGATTCATTCTTGGAAGCACTGGAAACAATCGCACACAGGCAGATGCACACCCCGCTGGCATCCAGGTGCGGGGCAGCACAAGAATTAACCATTTATAGCTAGGACAAGTCAAACATGCTCTTTTCTTTCTATTTTCAGAAATGTATAAAGGTCCAATTTGTAAGAGCAAGGTTTCAAAATTAAGACGATTCACACAAAGTAGAACAACAATCGCTGCGCAGGCAGTCTCTTTTTTTATGTCTGTCACTTAAGAAGGCTGCCCTTGCAGTATTCATAATTCATTGTTTACCGCAAAGGTGGTTAATAAATTTAAGCTTTAAAAATGATCCATAAGTTGATACTTGGGCTCTTTGGAGCTTACTTTTTTAAGAAATTTTCCTTGATTGACCTCAGGATGGTTGGGGCACTTCAAGGGGCTATGGCAATAAACAGCTCAACTGCTAAAGACACTGGAGCAGTGTGGGAGGTTGTGGCCATTTCTCACCCTTTGGTGTGAAGGTGGGTGCCCTGTGTTGCCCCTTCTGTCATAAGTGAAAGTGCTACTAAGAAAACTTTAAAAAATTATCAACCCTTTTATGCTTGATTTTCTTAAAAATTTGGAGGTATTAAAACATTCCTCATCCACACCCTTTGCATATTTTAAATAGACCCATATTGGAGATGAGAGTGAAAATGAATGTGGACTGTGTGTCTGATGAAAAGACAGAGTGGGGGCTGGCTCGGCTCCCCCTTTTAATACACATTTACATTCCTACAAGAAATACATTCCTACCATACATTCTGCACCATACCACCCAGATGTTGTTAGAGCGACACAGCAAAATAAATATATTTACACAGGAAAAAAAAAGGAATAAATAACTTATGGGGAAAACCACCTCTTAAATCTCTCAGGAGTCTGCACATCACTGTCAATAACTGCCTCTCAGGCCCAAGCACCCCAGGCTGTCTGCCTGCCTCTGGATGCCACAAGACTGTCTTTGTGAAGGTGAGCCATGACTGCCAGGAAGCATCTCGAAGCACGTCCCACACTCAAATTGGGACTTGGAGATCTCACGCTGGCTCCACCTCTTCCCTGTTGGGACATCACTTAATATAAATAGGACACAAAGTCAGTCTTAACTCTTGATGGGCTTGCTCTTTCTAAGACGGGCCAATAGTTTCCCATGCATGTCTGCAGAATAGGCACGTGCCTGCTGAGTTGGGGTGGGTGTTATGATTTTGAAGCCCGGCCTTATGAATGCACGGAGTCAGAGAACTAAGTTTGGGCAATGCTTCTCTGAGCTTTTTTGAACTGTTGCCCAACATACGGGATTGTTTAAACACACGGTTTGCTAATCCAACAAAAGTACAGTTGTTGTAAGTTACCGTAGATCAATTTTCGACAGCAGCAATCAACTGCGCTGTGCCATTTTTGTTGGGAATAGTCAACACTACTGTATATGCACATGTATGCAGATGTCTGTGGCATGTTACAGGGTCCTCCAGGTCTAAAACACAGAGATGGGTAGAGCTGCTTTCTTTAAGAAAGAAAGAAAAGTTCTTAAAATGGACAGGCACAATGACACTTGGGAGCGTCGACAACAACCCTCACCTTCTCATATGGTCCCTGGTCCTACATCAAAGGAAACATATTTGTGTAGTGGTGAGAGGTGCCTGTGGAGGGTGCCTGCAGGAGAGCAAGTACTGCTCTCTCTGCCTCTCACTGATCCACGGAGCTGGGAAGCAACCTTTCAAACACATGGCTGTGGGAAAAGGTAAATTAGAATGTAGAAAAGATATTAATCACACCTTACACAAATCTTTTGCTTGGATGAGCAGTTCCTTCATCACAAACACATTTGCTTGCCATGTGCATTATAAAAATAAAACTATCTATGGCTTGTTTAAAGTGCCATTTATAAACTTATCTTTTTAATTGGCCAGAAAGACCCAATTTTATCCATGGCAAGAAGTGAGTAGAACTGGTGACTGAATATTGACAAATGACCAACAACAACAACAAAACAAAATCCCATAATTTAAAAATTTTTAAATAAATATAAAAGTTATTCCTAAAGAAGCCACCTGTATAACAATATCGGTTGTAAGCTGAAGTACCACTACCATAAAGGAAGGCAGCAGACCTCAGCAATGGGCATGATACACTGAAACAAACTATTACAACTCAGGGGATAGAACTGGAAATAAAAAGCTGCTTAAGGGGCCAGGAGACAGGGGACACACATAGAAATTTCTGTTATGTATTTGGGGATAATAGCTTTGTGAAGTGTGGTTAAATTAGCAGTTAATTAAAGAAAGCAACCAGATTGGACACCATGACATAAAGGTGATGGACTGCGGCTCTAGTCACAGATGTTGAGAGTGCATCCCGGCTGGCTGAGGTGAGCCGAGCTCACTGTGGTGATCATGAAGATGCCATTTGCAGCTCTTAGCAACAGAGGGAACAAAAGCTCCAGGGAAGGACACTGGGAAAGGCAGCTCAGCAACATGATGGATGCCTTCTGGGGAGGGTATCTTCTTTATGAGCCCTAAGCACTGAGGTAGGGCTTAGCTCCATGAAGAGGTCAGTTGCTTGTTGTAAAATTGTTATGTAAAATTATGGTCTCATCATAAAAGCTATGCCCAAGGGGGGGGGTTTACACTTTACAAAATTAAAATAAAAACAATTAAAAGAGCAAACTTGGCATAAATACAGTCTTTTTCTGACTCCCCCCACCCTTGAGACAGGGTTCGAAGTATATAGCTCTGGGTGGACTGGAACTCACAGCAATCCACCTGCCCTGCCTCCCAAGTGCTGGAATTAAAGGGGTGAGCTACCACATCCAACCATGAGTGCCCTCTTAAACAAAATGATACAGCCTCTGCTCAAAAGCAGGAGCTACAGAGACCGTCACGTCAACCCCAGGATCTGCTGCCATCTCCCCGACCACTGCTTAATGCAAGTTTGATGAGCAGATAGGGCTCTCTGGCTTTGGAAGTCACAGTACTGGCAAGTGATCGTGCCAGGGGCTGGTGCTTGTGAAATTTGGGTGTCAGATCACCTGGCCCTTTATTGAAGCACTGTGTGTATTTGCATTTGGGGACATCAACTGCAGATTGATTTGATCCAATTTTCTCTTGCACCATACACATATAAAACATTACGACTCTATAAAAGTACAAGTGCAACTTGTACAGCTTACATTTGCAGGAACTATGTGAGCAAATCCTATCAAAATAGCTATCTTATATGTATAAACAGCATTTGTTTTTAGAAAAACAATATCATAAACTGCAGAATCTGTACAAAAATATAAAATAAATTTGGGCAGCGGTTTTCTAAACAGCCATGTAAATGCAACACTTACGAGGAGTTAATGCCTCTAAAAAGGCGGAATTGCCGAGTCAACTTATACAGGGCAAAAACGCCAGGAAAGGTACTGAGATTATCCAAATAATATAGATATATATTCTTTTTTTTTACCTCTTGCAATAAAACTTATAGAAAAAATAGACAAATATGCACATGCAATTTACAGCTTTTCCAACTTAATCCTTGTGCTTCGCTTGAATTGTTCATGTTCACTTTTCAACATTATCAACACAGTCTTCCAATGTCTTCTCGTCTAAGCCAGGGCAGTGGGTCTCTGTGAAGCCCACTCAGAGAGTGTATTAAAAGTGGTCATACTTGAATGAAGGCACTCCAACTCTGCTCGAAGAAAATACTAGTGTAATCCTTTTGTAAAATTGTCTTTTTCTCTGAAAAAGGCAAGCAAGGGTACATGCACAGTGCGGAGAAACTGTCAGGGTGGGTGGGGATGCTTGTAGGGCCTGGTTAGGCACAGTCAAGGGGTCCCGAGTCTTAGGATCCAACAAGCACCTCCATGATGTGGTCTAGCTCTGTGAGATCCATTTTGAAAGGCTGACTTGGGGCAACAGGCTGACCGCTATAGGGGGCCAGGGTCTTGAGGAGCTCATCAGCTGACACAGGGGCCATTTTTGAGGCTGTCCCTGATGTAGATGCGCAAGGGTCAAAATCGTACATGGATGTGTCAATGTCAGCAAACAAGATGTCGTCCAGGGTCAAGTCTGTCAGGAAACCTGTGGACGTTGTTATTTCAAAATTCCCAGGCAGGGAGTCCATGAATCTTGAGTCATCTGTGCGGCCTTCCTGGGGCCCCTCGGGCTTCTGGATGCTGGACTCACTGGAGGTTCCTTTCAGGCTGTCAGGCGCCGCTGACGAGGCCACGGCAGCCTCTGTGGAGGTAGATGTGGGACAGAGCTCCTCAATGTCATCCAAGGCTGAGGAGAAGCTGTCCTTTTCTGGTGGGAGGGCTGCACAAGGCAGTCTGGTAGGAGCTGCAGGGGGCGCAGCCTGCAAAGTGCAAAAAGTGTCATCATCGTCCTCTAGCAGTGAGGCAGGGGTGAGGCAGGCCTCCAGGGGTGTAGTGCTTCCTAGGTCACAGGGGTGAGCAGGAGGCGAGGCCAGGTGGGTGAAGGCAGGTGGGGCCTCCCTGTAGCTGTCGCTCAGTGAGTCGCTGGGCTGGGAAGTGGGGGTGAATGCAGGCCTCAGGCTGCCTTCCTGCTTGAGTTCCTCCTGAATCCGCCTCAACATGTTGTTAATTAAGACAGTCTTCTGCAAGCTGGGCTCTGTCAGGGGCCTGTGGTTATACAGTTTCATAAGGGAAATGTTGAAGACAGTCTGGCGCTGTAAGGTGTAAGACACCCTGGATGGGCCATCGGAGGGGGACACAATTTTGCCTTCCAGCCCATCTTCATGCTCATCAAACTTCCGTTTTCCTCCTTTACCCAACATATATCTACAACAGAGAAAGACAGGGAAGAGCATGAGTCACATGAAGGCTAATTTCCACATGAAAAAGATGCTGACTTAAGAGGTTAGGACTCGTCTATGCAGTCTCCTGCCCCGGGTTACTAAGAACAGGTGGATTCACTGGGGAAAGACCCTGTAGACTGGGAAGTGGGACATCCGCCCTTATACGCCTGCAGAGCAATTTTTATCACTAGGCAATCCTGGCCAATGTACTGTGTGAGTAATGTGTACAACACAACACGGAGAAGTTAGGAGTTACCATGGAAACCATGATTTTTACTTTCTCAGCTCATGTGCTTGCGTTCGCATGCCTAACATTATCACACAGGTTCAATTTCCCTCCCCCAAATGGGTTTATTTTTAAAGCTCAAGAACATACAACGCACAACCTCAACAGACAGAGGTGTTATAAATTACAGCTTGAACACAACTAAAAAAAATTGAAGGCATCAAGTTAGAGAAGGGAGAACACATACAATTTTGGTAGAACCCTGTGTGCTTTCAAGATGTTTTTTCCTTCCTCATTATGCACGAAGCCTTCCTGCCTGATGGGTGATATGTGGTGAAGCTAAATGACCACAGAGACTGAGTTGCTACTGCCTTTCATTCTAGACGAAGTGGAATGCATGTTTTCCCACCCGAGTTCTGCTTGGCTCTGTTTGATAGCACATTGTTGTGTGTGAACATGACTGCTGTAGTTTTAGAGGGATTTGCTCTGACTGTAAGCCCTGCTACTCAGGTACTGGAGACTGCCCTAACAAAACACCTACTATGACTCCAAGGATACCTGGGTATCTGGAAGACACAGGACTTGATATAAGAGAGTCTGATAAAGGCTAAAGTCAGGTCCCTTTGGGTATATTGCTGCCTAGCTGGTGGTCACTTTCAGAACAGCAGCCCTTCCTAGTACCCACAGTCACTGTCACCCCTTGCAGAACCTCTGCTATAGAAACCAGCTCGGAGGACCAGCCCCTGCTGCCCCTCAACACTTGCTATCTTGTTTTTGTCTTATAGTTCAAGGCGCCTGGCTTCCAATATGAACCTTTGGACTGAGTTCTTGGATGGAACTCAAAATCCTTGTGCCTCAGACTACTATGCCCAGTCCAACCTAGCTTCTGGGGGGCCAGACTAGGAGGCATGGTTCTTTCTAAGCCAGGCCCCTGCCATTCCTCTGCAGCACTCACCCCTCTCCACAGGTGCTTGGTAGTTAGGTCATTTTTTCCTCTCTCTCTTACAAATACAATTCACAGAAGTTTTTTTCCCAATACTTTGTTTAAAGGAAGGTCATGATGTCCACTCCACAAAGCAGATATACAGGAGGCCAGAGTCTGGCACACGACCCCATAAAGGACGGGAGAGATGAAGACAGCTGCAGTTTACCCATGTCAGCATTGGTTTGAGATCTGTTGATGCTTCTAAAGAATGTGGAATTATTTGTATGAAACCATTTCCCCTCATTCCGTAAGCATTGGCAAGATGGGTATCGATCCTTAGGATCAAAGACCAGACCAAAGACGCAATCAACACAACTATTCTGTGAAACAAGGAGGGTCCAATAAAAACAACTGGCTTATCTTTCACCTCTCAGTTCCTACTGTCTAGCGAGTCTCACTTGTATATCTTCTTTGCATCGGGCATGTCCTATCTATACTCATTTAAACTTGATAAATCAGAGAAGAGATAGTCTTATTTCACTCTGCAAAACACAATGCATCAGAAGCATTACCAGACAACTGGATTTTGAAGTGCGTTAATTGTATTCACATTTATATGTATATCTGCTTACAATTTAAGCATTTAATACTCTCCGGAAAAAAAAAAATGTTACTTTGGCCAAAGACCTTGTAAGGCACTTAATTTGCACACAATGTTATCTGATCTGTAAGTTATCCTGTGAACAGACCACTTGAATGTGTAAGTGTTCAAATATATACATGCACACCCTAGACCAGCATTTCTCAAACTTCAGTTCACAGGTGGGGCTAGCTTGTGAACTGGTACCCTTTCAGATGAGGTAAGTGAAGACACTGTATTACTTAGGGAGGTTTACAGCAAAATTACAAAGTAACTGTTAGGTCTGCAAATCTAACCCTCAACACAAGATTTTACAGCCCCCCCCCCTTTACTTCATTTTCAAAAAATTGTTTTTATGCTTTACTGAAATTCACAATTGACAGGGTAGGGGGTGGGGCTATCAAAATGGTCCATCAACACAGAAATCCAAGACATTAAAATACAGCCAAGATCAAATCAGAGACTCATTGCTACTTGGTACTTTTACTGATTTTCTATGGCAAAAATAACCGTAGGTAACAGTGTAGATGTCCACTCATTAATATAAAACTGAGAAAGGCTTGAACCAGAATCAAATGGTACTTTCTACAGTTTTTGTTCCCTCTCTTGCTCCCTACTTTTTTCTCTCTCCCTCTATTTTTTTAGATGAGATCTCTGCTGACCAAACTGAAACTTCTAGACTTAATACAACACCACAGTACTTTTCAATAACACACTTCTTTTGAAAATTAATTTATAAGTCTAGATGAAGTGGTACATGCCTTTGATGTCAGCACCCAGTGAGTCAGAAATAGATCTGAGTTGCAGGCCAGCCAGGGCTACTTGGTGAGACCCTGGTTTTGTTTGTTTTAGTGTATGTGTGTGCATGTGCATTTGTGGAGGTCAGGGATGACCTGAGGAGATAGTTCTGTCCTTCCCCCACCAGCCACTCAGCCATCAAGGCTTTTTGAGCACGTACTCCTCAACAAGACACCTTGTTGGCCTAGCAATACATTTCTTTAGAAATAATTGCCACTTCTACAGAAGTCAAACCTAAAGGCTGGAGAGATGACTCATGGTTAAGAGCACTTGTTATTGCTGAAACCCAGGGTTCAGTTCCTAGCACCTCCATGGTGATGCACAACCATCTGTAGCTAGTTCCAGAAAACCTGATATCCTCTTCTCACCTCCAAGGACCCTAGGCACGCACACACATGCCCCCACACCTGGGCTGTGTGATGCTGTAGGCATTTAGCAGAATTCTCATAGCTGAACAGCATCTGTGGAGACGTTTTCCATGTGAGAAGCAGCTAACTTCCAATCAGACAGAGCATCTGGCCAAAGCTGCGTGCTAACCCTGGTGTTTAGGAAAGCCGGTAGAGGTATGTGTAACACTGCCATCAACAGGAGGATGAAGCGCCCCTGTAAGCAAAATCTGTGACCAGGACTAGGTAGACAAGTTGAATCTTGGATGCTCTTCAAGTGTGTAAATAGGGCCTCTGGTGGATTATGTCTCAAAACAGGCTTACTTTCATTTTTCTGTTTTGTACCGGAGCAAATAAAAATGGCTCCATTCACCCAATGGAAGAGCAAAATGTACACAATCTAGCTAAGCCATAGAGAAAAATAAAAATGCAACAAAACCATAGTGTGGATTCCCCAGAATCTGGTTAGTACAAGGTGACAACCTCATCATTGGCTCCAGCTGAGAGGACCTCCAGCTCCATCCACCGAGACAGGGCTATGTGTGGCCTGGATCTCCTCAAGCAAGACATAACTCAAAGAAGACACAGCATGCCCTCAAGAGCCAGGCAGCACACAGCCAGGCGCATGGTCCCTTTTGTTAGCATTGGGCCCGGCTCAAGCTCCTGGGCCAGGGTGGCCAGCTCCTCAGAAGCCTTTCTCCTCAGACACTCAGAAAAAATAACAATAGCTCTTTAAGGGCTGTTGGACAGGCACGTGACCTTTCAAAAGGCTCCACAGGGGCAGCATGCCAAAGCAGTACAGAGGCTCACTAAGGGATTACTGGGAAGGCTAGGGAGGGCAACCCTCCAGAATGGAGGGCTCCAGGGTCAAGGCCTACGCTGGACACGAGCTTGCTTACTAGGGTACCTGGGTTTTGGTGTTCCACATAGTCCCCTCCCTCAGCTTGCAAATCTTCTACCCAAAGACCTGAGGAGCTCCTAGGGTTCGGGGCTGAGCTAGGACACTCCACACAGGGAAATCAGGTGGATGGTCCTTCCTTTCCTCTCTTGCTACCCAAGCCTAAAAACTATCAACTGCTTTTCTACTGAATAGCCATTGGCTCTTACTGTAAGGTCTGAGACAAAATGTGTCACCTTCCCAATGGTTAGGAACAAACTCCTGACATTTGAGACTCAAGCAGCCTACTCACGCTGGGTATCCCCTCAGACATGGAACCTCGCCCCAGCCCAGTATTTTGTAAAACTGATCTAGCAAGTACTAACTGCAGAAAACTAAAATTTAAACAGACCCTAGTGCTCTGTTTAATCCTAACACTGGGAAGCCAGAGGCAGACGATCTATCCTGTCTCAAACAACAAAAACACAGCATCAGAAAACAAAACAAAACAAAAAAACCCACTTTTTTTGTTGAGGTTGGTGCCAGAAAGTAATGAGTATCAGTACAACTGTTCTCAAAAGACAAAGGTCTAGACTCTAGATAGTCAGAAAACTTTTACCTGCTATGCATGGTTCTACCATTTCTGTCCTGAGAAATTCACACAGTGCAGGAGTGCGACTGTAGCCTGAATGATCAGCAGAGTCCCTCCATTTGCATGTCTGTCAATTACCTCCAGACTTGCCCCAGTAGGGGCACAAGACTCTTTTGTTCACCTCAGCATCCTTAGCTCAGGGCCCTCCCTAACACCAAACTAGTCCTCAATAAAAGAACAGTCAGGAGAAAAAATGAAGACACATGGGCCTGGTGATGGTGGCGCACTCCTTTAATCCCAGCACTCAGGAGGCATAGGCAGGCGGATCTCTGTGAGTTCGAGGCCAGCCTGGTCTACAGAGCGAGTTCTAGGACTGAGTGGGAGAGAGGGAGCTCTAGCCTTCATATCCCACCTCTGAGCCCCTCACATTTACCCCAGGGTCCCACTTAGGCAAATGCCCAGCCTCAGCTCTGGGCCTGTTCAGGCACAGACGATGGGTTCTAGCAATCTGTGTTCCCCAAGTTTCCAGGTGATGCTGG